TCCCCAGAAGAAGTCTGAATTTGAGGCCGTTATTAGCCCCATTTTATATATGAGAAACTGAGGCACAGACAGGTTTATTGCTTGTACAATAGTGTAAGTAGGAAGCAACAGAAACTTAGTTGGTCCTGAGACCTAGACCCTTACCCCATGTGAGGCTTCTGTGCACGTCCCTCGCAGGTGACAGAGTCAGGCAGCCCAATAAGGAGTGGTGGGTCTAGTGTGACACAGACAGCTGGGCTGCACTTAACACATGGGGCCCCTCCCCCACGGGTGCAGTTAACCTGCTATGCCAACTTTTTAAGAGAAACCAGAAACTCCGTTGTTTATGCAAAATATTTGTCTTTGTTTGTTTTTGGTGCCGAGGATTGAACCCAGGAGTGCTTAACCACTGAGCCACATCCCAGCCCTTTTTATTTTTATTTTGAGACAGGGTCTCGCTAAGTTGCTGAGGCTGGCCTTGAACTTGCGATCCTCGGGCTTCAGCCTCCTGAGTCTCTGGGATTACAGGCATGTGCTGCTAGGCTGGTTCCCCACTGTGTTCTTAACACCCCTCCCACCACCACCACAGCTACTTGGAAGGTCCTGGAAGGTTCCTAAGAAGGCTGAGTTACGTAGATATGGAGATTTGCACCCATTCATTTTCCCCAAAGAACAGAGTCCTTTTGGAATAAGAAGAGCAAAATAAAAAATCAGAGATTTTGCTTTTGGACAAAACGAGCCTCTGGGTGTGATGGCCAGGAGGCGGCTTCAGACTGTGGCCAGGCCAGTGCTCACCTTGGTCACCGTGTAAGTCCCCAGAAGGTTCAACTCCAAAAGCTGCCGGAATCCCTGGGCTGAGGTCTCCTCCAGCCACTGCGGGGGTGGGTCTGCGGGGAGAGGAGGAATGAGCCCTGCCTGGGAGGATGGGGAGGGGACCTGGGATGGGGAGGGAAGGGGACAAGGGACAGGGCTGCCTTGTGGGTTTGTGAGAAGGCAGCTTGTGGCGGCAGAAGGCTGGCCTTGAAACTCAGTCCTGTCACTTCCTGGCTGGGTGACCGTGGGCAAGCCCTGGTCCCTCTGTGCCTCAGTTTCCTCATCTGCTGAACGAGGACGATGTCTCGTTCTTGGGCCTACAGATTTCATGAGTCAGTGTTTGTCCCTGACAAGTGGCACCATAAGTGTGTTGGCTATACAAACAGAAGGAAGCGGCGACAGTAGCAGAGGGAAGAAAAATCCACCTTCAGAGTCAGGAGCTGGTAAGACACCAAGTGAGAACCGCAGGAACCCACAAGAATGGAAAGAGGGGACCCTGGACGCTCCAAGGCCCCGGGAGACACATGGACCAAGGGACAGAGACGGAAAGCAGACCAGAGAGGGCAATATTGACTCTTACTCCCCAGATGCCACATGGTCGCCTCACTTCTCCCAGGGACCTGGACAAACATCTTGTGAGAAGCCTCCCCAACAGCCTGTCCACTAGCCTGCCAGGTGGTCAGTGGACTTTCTCTTTTAATTTTTAAATGTTGTTTATTTATTCACTTTGTTAGTGGGGGTTGAACCCAGAGGTGCTTTAAAACTGAGCCACATCCCAGCCCTTTTTAATTTTTCATTTAAGACAGGGAGGGTCTCACTAAGTTGCTTAGGGCCTCACTAAATTGCTAAGGCTAGTCTTGAACTTGTTATCCCTTGTCATCCTCCTACCTCAGCCTCCCAAGTCGCCACTGCACCTGTGGTCCGTCTCAAATTTGCAATCTTCCTTCCTCAGCCTCCAGAGTCACTGGGATTACAGGTGTGCACCACCACACCTGGCCAGCTTTATTTTAATTCCTGACCACACTATCATATAATAGATTCTCATTATTCTTGACAGATATATTCTAAGGGATCATCACAAACCCTAGGTTCGAGAACATTCACCCACGGCTCCTGGAGGAAGCCTGAAGAGCTAACAGAGAGAATAACAGAACATTTGCATACATATCCATGTGTGCAAGCCTACAGATCTGTACACTGATATTAACTAGCACAGACGATAATCTTAAATCTCGAGAACCACCTGTGCTGGTAGACTATTTTATCAACCAGAACAAAGAGCACAAAGTGTTAGGGGACTTTCCTGAAGGTGTTCCATAATAAGGTGACAGAGTTAAGATCAAAACCAGCCCAACCAGCCCCTGAACAGGAGCCACCTGCCCAGCCAAGCCCTGCCTCCATCTAAGGGATTCTCGGTTGACAGCTGATTGACAGTCGGCAGAGTCAGCCTGTCTGATCTCTGTGGGAAATGTGAGCCACAGAGATTCAAACAACACTGTGCCTGTCCACACCTAATAGGAGAGTTCTGTGAGTACCAATTTTGGGTTCCAAATAAATTTTAGCAAGTAGGCAAATTCACAATTGAGATTCCACAAAGAGTGAGCTGCCCGTGTCTTTTTTTTTCCTACTTCCTGATGTGAGTTCTGTGAGCACAGGGACGTTTTCCGCTTTGTTCTCTACTAAATCCCTAATCCCTAGGATGGGATGTGGCGCCTGATCATAGATGCTCAACACACATCTGTTGAACAGACAAAGGACATAGAGGAACTAATACCTGATATATTTTTTTTCAAATCCTGACAATAATCTAGAAGGAACAAACAGTCAAGAGAGGGTGAATCCACCTGGGAAGGGCAACTCCTCTGCTATTGCCTCGATGGGCAACCCCAGGAGAAAGGATGCAGTCTCTGAGCCTTGGTTTACCACCCAGGGGCATTCTCAGGAAGGATGGTCCTTAAACTGATGGATATTTCCCTTGGAAGCCACAGCAGGGAGTCCAGCAACTGTACACCAGGAAGACATCTCCAGTGTCACTGGCAGAGCTCAGGACCATCAGCCAGATGGTCAGTGGACACGAGCAAAGTGAGGCTACCAGGTCCCAGTTGTATGCCTGAGGTGGTCACAGTGATTATGGGGCTGAGCAGTTTCCCTCCACCAGTGATCCCAACACTCTGTGGGACAACGGTGATGACTCCCATTCTAGACATATGGAAACTGAGGCGGGGGAGGCTCGGGACTGGGGACACAGTAGAGACTAGGATTTAAGCCAAGGCCTGCGGGTACCATAGCTGAACTGTCCTGTCCAAGAAGATAGAAAGGGGGATGGGGACATCAGGGGTGGGGAAAGGGGAAACTAAGGGACAGGAGGAGGAGTTCAGGGCCAGGAAGTGGGTGGCACAGCGCAGAGGGGCCCTACGCTGGCAACTCACGGTAGCCAGCATTGTTGACCACACAATCCAGGTGGCCAAATCGCAGGATGGTCTCGGAAATCAGGGTCTGAGGAGGAAGGACAAGTCCTGTGATGAGTGCTATGGTGCCCACCTCAGAGGGACCAGGGCCCCAGAGCAAGGCGGGGAGAGAGCTAGGTGCACTTCTGAGGGGACAGGAGCCAGAGCAAGGGGGTGCCCAGGATTACCAGGAATGACACACAGGAGACAGGAGGCCAAGGGACCAGAAACCAAGGCTGGTCACAGCTGCACTGAAGCTGTCAGTGCAGAAACCTGGGGCAGTGGGGGGCCAGAGACCCAGACAGAAAGAGAGGGGGACAGAGAAGCTGGGGGGGGGGGGCTGGCAGAGAGAGACTCAGAGAGCTGATACCGGGAGATGCTGACTAAAGGAAAGGCGCGGAACCCAGAAACGGGAGGGGAAATGTCACAGGAGGCCTGCTTGACAGGAGATAAAAGAAGAGCATCCAGGAGCACGTGACATGGCTAGCACAACCGGAAAGAGCACTGGGCTGACACCTTTGGGACCAGAAGGATTTAGCCAGATCAGGAGAGATGGAGGGAACAGTAGCATAAACCCAGGGAGGAGAACAGGGCCAGAGAGAAGGATGCTCTCACCTTCACGTCTTCTTCCTGAGTCACATCACAGGGGATAAAGACGGCTCCAGGAAGCTGCTGCTCCAGGGCCTGGCCACCTGACACTGCAGGGAGAGAGAAGCTGGGCCTGGACCCGGGGGTCTGAGGGAGGAGGCTGGGGCCTGGACCCCTGGGTCTGAGGGAGGAGGGCTGGGGGGAGGGCTGAGGGGCCCTCACTCACCATCCTTGTCGCAGATAACCACTTGGGCCCCACTGTCCACTGAGAACAGAAGAGATCAGGTTGGGGGCCCTATAGACCTTGGTCAGGGCCTCTGCTGCCCTCTCGTGGTCACTCCCCGCCCCCCACTCTTGACCCGGGTCTCCAGATGATGCCCGAGGACAAAGGGCAGAGCCTTAACACAGATTCCCCTTTGCCCCTCTAGGTGCCTGCTGGGGCTGCCAGGGCCTTATTTATGGGATCCATAGTACGCCCCAAACCTGCAAGAGACATATCCCCGGATCACCACTTTGCAGCTACAGTAACATATCCAGAAAAAGGGAAATAACTGCTTTTGGAGACACTGCCAACAATTCGTGTCTTTGGCCATCCATGGGCACCCTTCGTTACCAATTACAAATTGACTTTTATAAGAAACCGGAGTTTTTTCTTCCCACTGCTCCCTCACCCCCCAGTTATCTTCCTCTTTCCTTCCATCCCTACTCTCTTAGACCCCAAAGTGCGGAGCAGCCAGACCCTCACTCACCGAAGGCTCTTGCGATCCCAGCTCCGATGCCGCGCCCGCCCCCGGTCACAATCACCACCTTCCCGGCATAGCGCGTTCCCGCAGCCATTCCCGGCCAGTCAGTCTCTGTCACTCAATGAGTGACTTTCCACCTCTGAAGTCCAGGGAGGCCGAGGGATCGAACCATAAATAGGGGCTAGATCTTTGAAGCCCGACCCTGGGGGGCGTTGCCAGGGAATCCAGAGACCTAGGAATTTGGTCCCAGCCCAACTCTCCTCCCTCAGACCCGGGAATCAGGATCCCAGCCCCTCCAGCCCCAAATTCAGTATTCCTGAGGTTCAGCCGCTGCACACCTAAGCCAGGACGCAATGTATTCATTCCCTGCTCCCTGCTCCTCAGACGGCCCAGTGTCGCAACCCCAGACAGACAGACAGAAACTATTGACTAAAAGTTCAAAGTTTTAATGCAAATTTGGACATTGTTGGGGAAAATCAAAGGTTGGCCGTAAAGCCACGCCCCTCCCAGGTGGGGACCAGATCACGCCCCCAGGTTCCAGACACAGTCCAGCTCTCCCGCTGGTCCTCAAGGCCACGCCCCCACTCTCCGATTGGCTGTCGCATTTGAGCGGGTCAGAAGCTGGACTGGAGCAACGTGACCCTCAGTGGCCACGCCCCCTCCTCTTGAGTCTGGGCGGGAGGGGCGTTCCCGGAGTCCCACGTGGGCTCCCAGTGGGCGGGGCCTCCACCACGCCCATTACCACCGCGCGAGAATCCCGCAGAATCGGAATTAGCCATCGGAGAGCATCTTGGGTGAGAGGTCACCTGGAGAGTGGGGTCCGAAGGAGGCGGCGGCGCCGGGGGGAGAGGCTCTCCTCGCGAGTCCACATTTCCATCTGGAGAGGCTGCGTCGGGGATGAGCATGGCAAACTTTGGGACTCAGCCCTCCTCTCTCAGACCCAAGAGACAAGGACTCAGCTTTCCTCCCTCAAACTCAGAGTCCCCACCACAGCCCTCCTCCCTCAGACCAGGGAGTTTGACCCTCAGTCTATTTCAGGTGCCATCCCCCCAGCCTCCTTCTCCCCCTCTCCCTAATGCCCCCATCCTGGTCCCTCTTGCCTGGGATTTGGAACTTCCAATTCTTGCCCGGCTCTTTCTTTGCCACGACTAAGAATTCCCAGACCCCCCCCCCTCCTCACAGAGCCTAAGAGTCCGCGCCTCAAGCTCACCCTTCCCTAAACCCCAGGAGTCCAGATCCGCCATCCCTCACCTGTCATCATTCTGTGCCACTGCGACGCCTCAGTGGCCAGGGCTTGGGAGAGGCTAAGGACCCGCTCCCGGTGGCCTTCGGAAGTCGGCAAGTAAGGGGTAGTGTTCCTAGGACTAGACGAAAGAGAAGATGGGGAGCAGGTATGGTGGGGGCGCCTGTTCTGGGAGTTGCAGTCCATAATACATGTCCCCAAAGAACTTTCCACACAACCCGGTGTATTATGGGATGTTTAGTCCAATCAATTTTACAGGAATTGGGTTTGATACCGCCAAGAGACTTCTTGAAACTGCAGTTCTCATTGTTTATCCAGGGCTTCCTGTCTTGTTTCAGATGCCCCAGAAACTCAAGAGGCTTTAAAAGTTTTGCCACTTGCAATTCAGTACTCAGAAGACTCTCATGACAGTGCTACTCACCTCCCCTTTTGCGAACAGATTTCCCAGTTCCCTTCATCCACCCTCTGGTTCCTTACCTACTCCAGGACCCTGAGCTTCTGAGCCATTTTGCAGCTCCTAGGACAGACTGGAAAGGAATTGTGGCATTAGATTCCTGGCCTGGAAACCCCACTTCTCATTTTGAGGCTGAAGTAGAGGAAGCAGGAAGAGGCTATGAAATCCGATGGGCCGGATGTGGTGGTGCACGCCTGGCCTGTAATCCCAGCAGCTCAAAAGGCTGAGGCAGGAGGATCACAAGTTCAAAGCCAGCCTCAGCAATTTATCAAGGCCCTAAGCAACTTAGTGTCTCTAAGTAAAATATTTAAAAAGGGCTGGGGATATTGCTCACTGGTAAATTGCCCCTGGGTTCAATCCCTAGTACTCAAAAAAAAAAAAAAAAAAAAGACTTTTTACTATCCCACCCCTCACCCCCTAACCCTAGGCCACTCACCTTTTGCTCCAGGTCTGCCTGGCGTCTGGCTGGGGACAGTGTCCTCCCTAGAGTGAGCAGCCGGGGGGAGGTGGGGCGTGGGAGAGGCCGTCCACACTCCTGGTTCCTGCGAATACGCTCCAGCTGCTCCTGAGCACTCATCCGAGGCCGGGTTGTGGGGACCTGGGGAGAGGAGAAGTACCCTATGCCCCAGCCTTGGGCCTCCTCCTTCTTCTTCCTGACCTCCTGGCCTGTGGTCTGACCTTTGCCAGTAAGTTCACCACAGCACTTAGAGGGGTCTTTCTACACCCAGAGATGACACTCTCTCTCCCTTGCTCAAGCCTCCTGTGGCACCCATACAGCCAGCAAAGGCTTTTGAGGCCCTGTGTGGCCTAGCCCCCACCTACCTCTCTGGTCTCACCCTGTGGAAGCCCAAAGCCCCAGCAGGGGGTGTCCCAGACACATCAAGCTTCTTCCCTTTCTAGTCCATGGGACTTGAGTTACTTCTCTGAACTCTGGCAACTGAATTGTCAAGATTATTTTGGGACAATCTCAGGATTTAATGATGCTTTCTTGACCTCTCTGTTTCTTTTGTCCTCAAAACCAGAGGGAAGGGCTGTGTTCAGTGATAGAGCCTTTGCTAAACATGTACACACCCTGGTTTCCATCCCAGCAAATATAAAATATTTGGTGAAGGAACGAACAGATGAATGAATAAAGAACTTGCTATTTTCAGCCCTTTAGAGACATTCATCTCTTTTAATCCTCTAGGTGGTAGGAATTGCAATTAGCTCCATTTTACAGATGAAAAAATAGAGGCACAGAGAAGTTTAATCTGACCTAAAGCCACACAGCTTAGGAGTGGTAGAGATAAATTTGGTCCCAATGCTCTGAATAAATCATGTGCTTTCTGCTTTGAGTGTGGCTTTGGAAGTCTCCTCTCCCAGCTGTTTCCCCAGGTTTTGGGGGACTGTGGTCGTTAGATCATAGGGTTACGAGGCAGACCTAAGGGGGGCCCACATATGGCCTACCTTGGTTCCCAGTTGCGGAGAAGTGGGGCGGCGACCCTCAGGACTAGAAGCCCGGGAGACCCTCGGAGATCCAAGACCTGGCAGGACAAGGGACTTGGTGAGGTTAGAACACAAGGAAACTCCCACTCCAGCAGGATGCTCACCTGACCGAGGGCTGGCAAAGTCTCTGTCACCTCCAGGGGGCCGCCCCCAGTCAGCCTCAGGGGACCGAGGGGAGCTCAGTTCCAAGGACTCAGGCAAACTCTGGAGGGATCAGAAAAGGAGAATAATTATTATTGTCATCATCATTATTATTATTTTTTTTTTTGGTACTGGGATTGAATTCAGGGGCACTCAACCACTGAGTCACATCCCCAGCCCTTTTTTGTATTTTTTTAAAGTTGTCTATGGACCTTTATTTATTTATATGTGATGCTGAGAATCGAACCCACTGCCTCACACATGCTAGGCAAGCGCTCTACCACTGAGCCACACCCCCAGCCCCTTTTTGTATTTTATTAAAAGACAGGGTCTCACTGAGTCACTTAGTGCTTCGTTTTTGCTGAGGCCAGCTTTGAACTCGCAATCCTCCTGCCTCAGCCTCCCGAGCTGCTGGGATTACAGGCATATGCCACCATGCCCAGTATCTCAAAGAGAGTGGAGCTGGGTTCTGAACCCAGGTCTTCTGGATTCATGGTCTGAAAGTCAATGCAAGCAGAAGCTCTAACCCAGCTATGACAATAATTGTCCCGGCTTCTGGGGGGCCAAGTCTGTCTCTCCACCTTGGGGATTAAGATTAGTGGTGTCTAGTAAGTGCTTTTTTATTTTATTTTTTTACTTTTTAAAGTTGTAAATGAATACAATACCTTTATTTATTTATTTTTATGTGGTACTGAGGATCGAACACAGCGCCTTACACTTGCTAGGCAAGTGCTCTACCACTGAGCCTCAACCTCAGTCCTAGTAAATCCTTTTTAACAAATGCCTTTCCTCATGCCTGTAATCCCAGGCACTCAGGAGGCTAAGACAGGAGGATTGCAAGTCCAAGGACAGCCTCAGCAACTTAATGAACCCTCTTTCAAAATAAAAAATAAAAGGGCTGGGGATGGGCTGGTATTGTGGCTCAGTGGTAGAGCACTTGCCTAGCATGTGTGAGGCACTGGGTTTGATTCTCAGCACCATGTACAAATAAATAAAATAAAGGTCCACTGACAACTAAAAAGTATTTTTTAAAAAAGGCTGAGGATGTGGCTCAGTGGCAATGCTTTGCCACAATATGCAACTATTCACATAGCATTTATTTGTCTTAGGTATTGTAAGTCACCTAGAGATGGTTTTAACTACATAGGAGGAAGTGCATACATCATATGCAAACACCACATCATTTCTATAAGGGGCTAGAGCACTGAAAGATTTTGGTCTCCACAAGGGATCCTGGAACTAACCCTTGCAGATACCCAGGGGCATCTATATAACAAACAAGGAAAGAAGGGCTCTCAGAGTTGAAGATACCTGCCTGAAGTTGGTTAAGTGACCAAGGGAGAAGAAAAGAGGTGGTTGGGGGAACAGGTTGGACCAGGGACATAGGAGACAGAAGCAGAGTCTTACCTCCCTCTCTGAGGACTCCTCGCCTTGGAGTGCAGGGGATGGGGAGTCAGGCTCAGTGTGGGGGAGTGCTTTCTGAGGGCCACCCAGACCAGCCAGCGTGTCTTCTACCATCCACAGCTGCTGCTGAGCCGATGCTCTGTCCTGGGGGAAGGAAAGGATTAGTTACTCCAAGTTGGTAAAATGCAAGGAGGGTTACAGCTGATGGGTCATGTGAGGGTGTGAAAGCAGCTTGGCCATGTTTATGGAGTCAGGTCCCTCCTCCCAGTATGGAAATCCAATTTAATAGAGAGGACTGTCTTTCTGTACTGTTCTGCAGTAGTGCTTCTATCCTGAATAGATGCCATAAATATATGGAAGTCTGTTTCTGAACACCTGATTCTAGTCCTTTGGTGTATTTGTCTAATCTCGTGATGATGCAACATGAATCATCTTATTAACTATTGCTTTATCCTCAGACTTGACATAATAGTTGCGTTGGTCCTTGAGCTTTGTTCTTGGAGATTGTCTTGGCTATTCTTGGCCTTCTGTTCTTTCAGATACAATTTAGGACCAGCTTATCAATCTGCACAGAGAAACCTTCCAAATTTGTACCAGGATTGCAGATCCCCACTGGGGAAAGAGACACCACATGTTCACACTAGTGTCTTTCCTATCCATGAACATGGTAAATCTCTCTATTTCTATAGACCTTTGCTTTTTCTTAATTATGTTTTGTGGTTTTCAAAGTAGATGCCTTGCATATTTTTCACTAGATTTATTCTTAGGTATTCAATTTTTTCATGTTATTTTGAACTCCTATTTTCAACATTCCTTTTATAATTGTTTGGCATGAGTAAATAAAAAGACAATGACTTTTGCACATTAACCTTTTATTTTAGTGACCTATTTATAGACATATCATATCATCTGAAAATAAAATACTCTTTACTGTATTTTTCTTGTTCATTATTTATTTATTTTTTGGTGCCAGGGTTTGAACTCAGGGGCACTTAACCACTGAGCCACATCCCAGCCCTTTTTTGTATTTTATTTGAGACAGGGTCTCACTGAGTTGTTTTGCACCTGGCTAAGTTGCTGAGGCTGGCTTTGAACTATGATCCTCCTGCCTCAGCCTCTGGAGCAGCCACCTGCTGTTTATTTTTTGATACTGGGAATCGATCCCAGAGGCACTTTACCACTGAACCATATCCCCAGGCCCTTTTTATTTTGAGGCAGGGCACTTGCTAAATTGCTTAGGGTCTCACTAAGTTGCCAAGGCTGGCCTTGCATTTGGCATCCTCCTGCCTCTGCCTCCCCAGGGTGGGCCATGCAGGTCGACATACATCTCTCTTATTAGATAAGTTTACTTCTGTTCCTGTTGTACTGAGAGCTTCTGTTATGAGTAGGGGGGGAACTTTGATAAATATTTTCCAGATTTTATGAAGATGATTATGTGGTTTTTCTCCTTTGTTTTGTTCAGTGTGGCAAAATATACAGAGTGATTGTCAAAGGTTCAACTACCCGTCTATTCCTGTAATAAATCCAGCTTGGAAGTCATGTATTGTTCTTTTATATACTGCTGGTGCTGAGCCAGATTTAACTCCAGTGGGCAGGAGAAGAGGTAAGGGGCGGGTTTTAGGATGAGATGGGAGGGGCTTAGCGTGAAGAGGGTGGAGCAAATCTATGAGAACGCATTTAATACAATAAGTCGATGTTTTTAACTAAAAATGCATGAATTATAGCTGAGTGCATAGACAGAGAATAAAGAAGCGAGTCTGAGGCGAAGCATTGGGGCTTATATTTTTAGAAGCAGGGCTTAAATTAAGGGGTTGGGTTTAGAATTGGAAACTCCATAGGATAAATTTAACGGCCACATTCAAGAAGCAGGGTGCCGGACAAGAACTTGCCAGAGGGAGACGGGGCTGAGGGTGGTGTTTTGGCAGAGGGGCGGGGCTTCCACAGGAGAGGAGAGATTTAGAACCAGAGAGGGGACTGGATGTGAATCTGAAAACCGGTCTTAACTACAATAAGGGGCTTAGACTGGAGGGTTGGGGCGGGGCTTGGTGAGTGGGCGGGGCTTGGACTCTGGATGGAGTTGGAGGGGGTACTTAAATGATGAAAGGGTTTCCGGCAGATCTTGGAGGGGAGAGTGGTGTTTAGGGGGTAGGAGGGGAGGTACCTGGGGGGAACCGAGGTGCAGCAGGTATTCGAGGGTCTCTCTTAAGGTGCCCAGTTCCTGCTCCAGGCCACTGTATGTGTCCCAAACCCGCTCTCGCTCCTCAGGTTCCAGAAAGGGAGAGACAAGGTTAGCATCCCCACCAGCCAGATCTTTCCCCATTTTTTTCCCAGTTGAGGAGGAGGAGGAACGGAGGCCTGGGCCCCGGGCCTCTGGGGTCATAAGGACCACAATCCCCATGAGCCTTGCCTCTTGGACTACCGGGAACCCCAGAGTCTATATGGATCCTGCAATTTCAATGAACTGCTAGTGTAGACCAAAAACCAGTGTTCTCTGGATTCCTGAGTTACTAGTGCACTCTCTTAGCATGGTGGAATCTACAGATCTAATGAATTCCTGAGACAGTCAAGACCACAACACCTATGCTCACGGGGCAGCAGAAAACTCCTAGCCAATAATAATAATGATAGTAATAATAATAATGGCTAACATGTATTGAGCATGCTCAGTATGCACCCCTTTCATTCCTGTGAGGCAGTACTGTTTTTGCCTCCACTTTAGAGATATTTAAATATTTAAAAATGTTTCTCTATTGTTTACAACTAATAATAATTACAGCTAACAATTACATATTGCTTGCCAAGTACCAGGTACTTTACTAAGTGTTAAATATGCATTCATTTACATAAGTTAATGTAATCCTCACAATGACTCTATGAAGTAAGTACAGAGGATGGAACCCAGGGCCTCACAAGGCTAGGCAAGGGGTCTGCTACTGAGCTACGTCCCCAGCCCGGTAAATAATATTTTTATCATTCAAGAGTTGACATAGGAGGTTAACTAAAGTCCAGAGGGTTTCATAGCTTTTCTAAGGTCACAAAACCCCTGTGGGAGGCAGCTCACCTAATGCCAGGAAACTATATCAAAATCAGCCTCTGTGATTGAGACTCCAGATTCAATCCCCAACATTAAAAAAAAAAAAAAAAAGTCACCCCCTTAAGCTGCTAAATTAAGTTCTTCTATTGCTGGCTGCTTGCCCTTTGCCCTTTACAATGATCAAGATCACTGGTTTAAAGTTGGGGTGATGGAATTTTCAAGAATTATGTGCCTGTGAGCCCTCACATTCTCTGGTAACCGCCTGCACAGTTCTGGGCCTCCTGGGAGGGAGGAGTACCCCTTTCCCCACGCTCACCTGGGTCAGGTGACAAAGGGCAGCTCTCACACTGACCAGCCGGTCCTGCAGCAGGCGCTGGCGACCCCAGGCCTTCCCAGGACCCACAGCCTCCCTGCCTGCCTGACCCAACTGCTGCCGGGTCAACTCCAGGGCGGCCTCTAGCTGCTCCTGTAGAGAGGGGAAGGTGGTCAGACCTGGGAAGCCACACCTGGCCCCAGAGTGAGAGGCATCCCCCCAAATCCTCGACATCCAACAGCATCCTGGCTTCCAGTCAGAAAGTGGTAGGGGCAGTTGAAGAGGCCAGTCAGAGGCCCCTGCCCCGCCTGGCACCTTCTCCTCCTGCCTCTGGTCTATGTCCTCCTGCAGCCTCCTCAGGAGCCGGTCCTGCCCACACAACTTGGTCAAAAGAGTCTGGAAAAAGAGAAAAGAGACTCTTTATATGTCCTGTCTGCCTCTCCTGCTCCACAAACTATCTAGAACATTCTCTTTATAACTCAAGGAACTCAGCAGGGGTTGGATCAGGAGAACTTACGTCTGTCTCCAGGCTTTGGTGGAAGTTTGAGTCCAGGGGGGGACCTGGCTAAGAAGAAGAAAAGTCAAGGGTCAAAGGCAAGTCCTTGGGGCTGGGGATGTGGCTCAAGCAGTGGCGCGCTCGCCTGGCATGTATGCGGCCCCGGGTTCGATCCTCAGCACCACATACAAACAAGAGATGTTGTGTCTGCCGAGAACTAAAAAATAAATATTAAAAAAAAATTCTCTCTCTCTCTCTCTCTTTAAAAAAAAAAGGCAAGTCCTTAATGTAACACAACCCTATGCCGAGACGTGTCTCCACCAACAGACACCCCTCTTCTGTTAGCTTGCTGCTAAGCTTTAGCAAATCTTTTAACAGGAGCTTAAAGCTTGTTTTTCCTAAAAGCACTGATTCTTCACTTGGGCCTAAAGACCAACAAGTAACCAAAAACAGGATAAAAGCTTGGCATCTGTGCCTCCATGTTGCATCTGCCTCCTTTCACTACCTTCAATGTGAACTCTGTACATAACCAAGGTAAGAGTAATTTGGATATTTCCAAGATTTACAGAGACATCATAATCAACAGGCTGTCAACTACCTATTCCAGACTGCCAAAATGGCACCTCAGAGTCTTCAATCATTGCCCCAAACCTGAAGGAGGGCCCATTATCAACCTAACTAACTCCAACTTGTCTTTCTGATTTTTTTCTTTCTCTGAGTCACCACCAAGTCCAGGTCTAGTAGATCAAGATCTTGTGATAAGAGTCAAAACTAACCCCCCTAAACTTTCTTATCTCTGACAAAGCTCCCTATGAGCTATGCTGATGCTGAGATCATTTTCAAGCAGACCACTGGCCACTGGCTCACAGAGACTGTCCCAACCTTGCCTTGTTCTTTTCCTATGCAACCCCAAGACTACAAGACTACAAGACTACACCTTGAAGACAGGCGCTATTTTTTTTTTTAAGTTGTAGATGGACACAATACTTTCATTTTTATGTGATGTTGAGGATTGAACCCAGGGCCTCATGCATGCTAGGCAAGTGCTCTACCACTGAGCCACAACCCCAGCCCTATTTTTTGTCTTTTAATAGAGAAATTTTAGATGTTTTCAATATGACTGAGAATAAAACAAAGGTCTCATTAGTAGTGCTACAGTTTAACATAGTATCAAAGATCCTGGCTAATGCTATCAGAAAAGGAAAGGGAAATAAAAGGAGAAGTGAGGACAGGAAGAGAGGAAGGAGAAAGAATCTTCATCATCTCCATATGAAATGCTCATTTACCCAAAGGAACCAAGAGAATTGAGACGTGACTGGGAAAGAAAGAGAACTCAGCAATGCTGCTAGATGTGAGTCGAAGCTGAAAAAACCCATAACATTTGCTGTAACTCAACAAGTACAAAGTGTCTAGCAAAATAAGGGATCATTTAATAGGTATAAAAATAACCAGAAGAATTCAAAGCAGGGCCTTGAAGAGATATTTGCACACTTAGGTTCATTTCAGCATGACTCATAACAGCTAAAAGATAGAAGCAAACCAAGTGTCCATCAGTGGATGGATGGAAGACACAATGTGGTGTATATACACATGCAATCGACTATTGTTCAACTTTAAAAAAGAAGGAATGGCTGGGCACAGTGGGGCATGCCGGCAATCCCAGCAGCTCAGGGGGCTGAGGCAGGAAGATTGTGAGTTCAAAGCCAGCCTCACCAACTTAGTGAGGCCCTAAGCATCTAAATATAATATAAAAAAAGGACTGGGGATATGGCTTAGTGATTAGTTGCCCCTGGGTTCAATTCCAGCACTTTGAAAAAAAATTAAAATTCAAAATAAACAAAAGTAGTGAATTGGTCAATTTTATTTGCATGTTTTTTTCTCACAATAAAAAAATGATATAAATAAAATGACTTTTTAAAAACAATTACCAAGAATTGAGAAGTTACCCTAAGTGAGATGACACAGGATCTCTCTGCTGGACACTTTAAAACTTGAATAAAAGATCCTGATGATTATCTGAATGAACAGATTATCTGAATGAACACTCCCTTATCTGTGACCTTCACTATTGTGAAGAAGATGGGTCCTCCCTAATCGATTTATAAATTCAGCATAACCCCAAAAAAATACCAGTTGGGAGTTTTGAGAAACCCAGTAATGAACATGGGCTTTCCTGGGGTTGTGATCTATATGATAAGGCTCTAAAGGTATTTTTTAATGAGGAAGATGGAGATTTGGGGTTGTCACAAAAGCAAATAAATGGACCAATGGGGCAGAATTAACAGACGACAATCCATGTACACATGACAAAAGTGGCTTCATGAGTCAATGACAAAAAAAAATGGATCCTTAGATCCAAGGTTCCACAAAAGCTGGCTTCCTGGTGGCCAGGAATGCACTTGGACTCCTATCTCAACAGGGCCTGTTACTCCAGAATGCTCTTCCTGAGCAGCTGCATAACATGCCTCATTGCTGGGGAGTGACTCCTAGACCCCAAAAACCCAGAACCCTGACTTTGCTAAATTTCACTTTAGGGTTTGTCCCCCAAAGCCACAATAAGGCACAGGCTTGGGCCCTGAGCTGTGCTACTGCCCTCAATCATCCCCCAACCCCGCCCCCAAGTGCCACAGAAGAGCAGAAGACCAGACATCAGGCTTCATTCCTGGCAGAGGAGCAGGGCTGCTCATGGTCTGCAAGAAGCTTTGCAAAGGTCCCAGAGCTAGGGATTCCGCTGTACCCAGACCCAGACGAGAGCTGGCCTCAACTACAGCTTGACTGCTAAATGTCCTCCCCACTGGACACGATGCCCACACCAATACCTCAGTCTTGCTGGCAGAAAAGATGTCATCTATGCTACTGGGGCAAAGAAGGGGACAGCAGTGCCTCAAATCTGCGCTGCTCTGTCTGGACCTGTTACTTAAGAAATTCTTAATGGGGTGGTACATGCCTGTAATCCTAGAGGATCGGGAGGCTGAGGCAGAGTTTAAAACCAGCCTCAGGAAAAGCAAAGCGCTAAGCAACTCAGTGAGACCCTGTCTCTAAATAAAATACAAAATAGGGCTGGGGATGTGGCTCAGTAGTTTAATGCCTCTGAGTTCAATAACTGGTACAAAAAAAATTAAAAAATATATATGTATATAAAATAAAAAAGACTGGGAGGGGCTACAGTTGTGGCTCAGTGGTAATGTGCTTGCCTAGCACGTGTGAGAAACTAAGTTCGATCCTCAGCACCACATAAAAATAAGTAAATAAAATAAAGGTTAAAAAAAAAAAAAGACTAAGAATCCCAGGGGCTGAGGAGGCTGAGACAGGAGGATCATGAATTCAAAGCCAGCCTCAGCAACTTAGTGAGGCTCTAACAACTCAGGGAGACTCTGTCTCAAAATAAAAAAATAAATAAAACACCAAAAGACTGGGGATGTAGCTCAGTGGTAGAGCACCTCTGGGTTCAATCTGTAGTACCAGGGACAGAGGGTGTGGGGGACCCAAAGATATGTACAAGTCCTAACCCTGGGTACCTGAGAATGTGACCTTATTTGTGAATAGGGTGTTTCCAGATGTAAGTGTTGAATAAAAATTATAGGAGGCCTTTGTTTTGCACAAGGCTCCTCCACTGGGCCTTGAGAGATGAGGCTGAAACCAAAATGGAGTCTCTCACATTAAAATTCCAAGTCATGGGCTTGGGGAAATGACACATGCCAGTAATCCCAGCAACTCTGGAGGCTTACGCAGGAGAATCACAAATTAAAGCCTGGCCTCAGCAACTTATAAGACCTTGTCTCAAAAAAGAAAATTTAAAGGACTGGGGATGTGGCCCAGTGGTTAAGTACCCATAGGTTCAATCCCTGGTACCAATGATAAATAAACAAATAAAGCCACTAAGGTCGCTAAACTGTTGTAATTTTGTTCTTTGATGTAAGTTCCAATGATGTCTGGTATCCTCACACAAGGAGATAGACACAGACAGGGGCTAGAGATGTAGCTTGGGGATAAAGCACTTGCCTTGCCTGGGGAGGCCCTGGGTTCAACCCCCAGAACGTCAAAAAGAAACGCAGACTACCACACAGGAAGATAGCCACGTGATGACGGAGGCAGACACTGGGGAGATGCAGTCCAAGAACAGAAGGGGTTTGGGGCAGCATGAGATGCCAGGACAGAGGCAAGAGGAAGCAGGGCCCTGAATGTGCTGGACACCTTGACTTCTCAGCCTTCTGCCTCCAGACCAGTGAGAAAACAAATTCAGTTGTTTTCCCATACAGCTTGCTACAGCTTCAGGAGGTGACATTCCTCATGGCAAAGAAGGCAAGGGACAGGGCTCTGGTAGATTCAGGAGCCCCAGGATACCTACCAGTAAAACCATAGAGGCCCGGGTTCCAGGGGGTCTTGGGGGGAGCTGGAGATAGGTGGAGGAGCCAGATGGGGCCTGGGAAGAATATTGAAATAGAGATGTTTAGAAATTGGCATATCTGTCAGGCTTGGTGGCACCTCCTTGTCAGTCCAGTGATTCCACAGGCTGGGGCATAAGAACTGAAAATCCCAGGTCAGCCTGGGCAATTTATCAAGATCCTATTTTAAAATAAAAATAAAAGGGGCTGGAAGGTTGGGCTGGGGTTGTGGCTGAGCAGTAGGGCGCTCACCTAGCATGTGCAAGGTCCTGGGTTTGATCCTCGAGGACAACATAAAAATAAATAAATAAAATAAAGGCATTGCGCCCAACTACAAAAAAAAGGGGGGGGGGGGGGAGCCTGAAAGGGCTGGAGGTGTAGCTCAGTGGTAGAGCATCCCTGGGTTCAAACACTAGTATGGAAGAAAAAAAAAGTGGCATATCTTAGCAACAAAACTCAAGAGGGTATGTCCAGAATTTTCACTGAGCTATAACCCCAGCCTTTTTTATTTTTGAGACAGCATCTCCCTAAGTTGTTTAGGGCCTCACTAAGTTGCTGAGGCTGGCCTCACACTTGAGATCCTCCTGCCTCAGCTTCCCAAATCGCTGGGATTACAGGCCTGGCAGAGTATTCTGGACTACAAGCTCCCTGGTACTTAAAGAGCAAAGACCTGAGATCAGGAGGAAGGACCGACCGTTGTGAGGTATGATGGGAGACGGGAGTCCACTCTCCCTCCTCACAGCTTGGTCCTGCTATTATGGAGTACAATTCCCATTATACCCAAGGGACATGGCCTGGAGTCCAAGAGGGGCTGTGAGGCCTGATGGGAGTTATAGTCCCCACCCCTCACCTCTCCTCTCCGTGGTCTAGGTTCTTGACTCCAGTGCTGGGGACTCCTGGGGGGCTTTCCTCCGCCAGCGTCGGAGGAGGGTCCTCGGCGAGGAGTGGGGGGACGTGATAGAGTCTGTCGCTGGGGGCCCCAATCCAGAGGAGGCCTGACATCGATGCGACTCAAGGGGGTGTGAGGTCGGGCAGGGAGCGCTGCGTCTCCCGAGGAAGGAGGGGGCCGCCGCGCAGGAGCAGAACGGGGACGCGGAAGGCTCAGAGGGGAGGGCGGGCGAGACAGGGGCGTGAACAGGCTGTCGGGAGAAGAGAAAGCGGGAGCGCTCTACTGGACCTACACCCCCTCCCCTGTCCGCCCCACTCTTCAAGACAGCCTCAAGGTCATCGCCCCTCACTGTCTCACTGTCCCTCTAGAGTCCAACCCTCCTGCATTGGGCAGATCCCGAACAATTTCTCCTTGATAACTTCTCCTTAGAACTTCTTCCCGACAGGAACCCCAGCAACTCACCGCCAATCCAGTACCAAGTGACAAGCCACGCCCCTAATCTGTTCCGGCCCCGCCCTTTCATTAAGCCACGCCCCTCATAGCTCAGTTCTACTCACTCGGGGCTCCTAGTCCGCCGAATCCGGGGTCCAGACTGGAGGTCGGCTGTGGGGCTGGGAGTGAGCAGCCCAGGTCGGCCATGACCTCTAGAGAACCGAGCCATCTCTGGTGATTCTGAGATGCGTCCCTCTTCCCCTCTGCTCACCTCCGGGGGACCCCCTGGACCGCCAGGGCCCTCCCCACGCTGGGGACTTGCGGGTGTCCTGGGTCGCCCACTGGCGAGTGGGCACAGAAAGAAACATTACTTCTTTGAACCTCATTACAGCCCAATTCTCTTTTCACAGCAACCCACCCCAAAACGGGAATTGTGCACTATAAACCATTGTCCCCCTTTGCAGGTGAGGAAACTGAGGTCCCTAAAGTAGAAGTGACCTGTACCGGGCCGCCGAGCCCATTCAGGTAACAGGTCCAGGGAATCACGTGTCCGGCCTAAGCGTTGGGACAGGCTGGGTCAGGGCCTAAGAGACAACCTGACATTTTAAAAATATCTGGCCTTGTCTTTTCGCTGACGTGGTTTAGGTGTTAGCCTCAGTGAACCGAGACTTCTAAAGGAGTCCTTCAGAGAGAGGTGCAGATAATTCGTGGGGCGGAGCTGAGAATGTCTACTAGATCCCCTGATTGGAGGGTCAACTGGGAGGGGCAGGGCGTGGCAAGATTGTGGGCGGAGACTAGGAGAAAAGCCGTTTGCTGATTGGAAGAACCCTAAATGCCCTGGAGGCGGGGCCTGAAAGGTGGAGCCTTAGCTGGAAGGCTAGTGATTAGACATTCGTGGGACAGGTGGACCTTCACTCACCAATCTTCCCCCTCCGCGCGGGAGGCCCGGCCCAAGGCCCGCAGCCAGCCCCGCAGGTCTTCTAATGTGTCAGCCGCCAGGACATAGGTCCTCATGCCCGGATGCTCTGCCTGTGGGAGGAGAAAGCTTGGGACCCAGACCCCCGGGCTCTCAAAAAAAGGAGGATGCCAGGGACCCTGTGCAGGACCTTTCAAGTCCAGTAAGGATGCTCCAGTGTACGCCCACCCCATGCCTCCTGTTCCTATCAACTAGTAATCTTGGAGGATGGACGGACTCACCGTGAAGGTGAAGCGCCGCCCTCGGGGTGCTCCGGGCCCATCTGGCCTAATACTGTAGCTGGGGAGCAGGACACTTCCCAGGACACTCTCCTCGCGGCTGTCTGCAATGAGAGGGCCAGAGTCAAGGATCACATGGATCAGGAGGCCAAGAGGCTAGAGGGAAGCACGGGTGGGGAAAGGGCCTTCCAGCTGGCGCACTGACCCTTGTAATAGAAGAGGCAATGGCCAGAGAGGACGAACCAGCGACGTTTCCAAAGCCGTAGTCCGGAGCTATCCTGCGGAGAGAGATGGGAGAAAGGCCGTGGGTAGAGAGAAAGGAGAAAGTAGGTGGACACTGACCACAGAGACAGAGACCCAGAGAGAACTGAGAAGGGGACAGAGACACAAAGAGAGGGGAGGGACAGAGATGCAAGTTTAATGTAATAGATTTAGATGGAGAGCTGGAGGCCACCGTGTTCACACAGCTGGATCCGTGTTGGACTCTAAGCTCCCCCAGTTTCACATTATGCCTTTACACTAGTCTTTTCCCCCAGGACCTTCACGTTTTTTCATCTGTCAGTTGGGGATTGAGAAGTTTTAGGGAGGTTTGGATGAGACGGTATACCCCATCTCATGGGGGCAGGGGCTTTATATTTAGAGACTTGGTCCAATTATTTTGAAGCCTAAGACACAGAGAGGCTAGAAAGGTGGCACTGTGTCTTCTCATCGCCTCTCCCTGAACCACTCCACGGGCTCCAACCTCAGGCCCTTCTCCCCATCAACCTGTTCCACAGACTCCAGTATGATCTTGTAAAATTCTGAACCAGATCATGTGAGTTCCCTTTTCAAAATCAACTTACCATCCCACTTAGCATAAAGCTCATTTTCCTTACCCTACTTCACTAGTTTTCAGGGAGTTTCAAACCTGAGCACCAGAAAAGAATGTTCAAACACAGATTCCTGGGTCCCAGCCCCAGATCCTGATTCAGCAGAGCTGGGGTGAAACCTGATCATTTGCATTTGTAGCCAGGTACGCAGCCCCCAGTATCCTTTTTCTTCACACACTGATGCTACCTGTTTATGAAGCCAGCCCCGGATGTGCACAGGCAGGTTGGGATCCCTTCGGAGTGCATTGTTCCTCTTCCCAAAGGCATGGACCTTGTTTACTGCCCGAGTGGGCTTCTAAGGAGAGAAGAGGGACAGAATGAATAGGTCTCAGGATGGTATGAAATGGGCAACCCTAGGGCCTCACTCCACTGCCCTTAGAAATCAGCTCAAGGAGGGGTGAGCTGGGAGGTCAGAATTGGCGGGTGTTCATAGTGCAGAGTTGAGACAATCTTGATGGGAGGGAGGTGTTCAGAGGCAAGGAAGAGGGAAGAGGCTGTGGCACAGGAATTTGGGAACCAAGGGCCCACTGTTAAGAAGAGCATGCCCTTGGCCACCAGAGTCAGGGATGTGAACCTTTGGGATCTGAACTGGGACTATTAACTATGAGGTCCTCATAAGCAGGAGGAATTTCCATGCTGAGTCCCTGGTGAATTAAAGGTGGAAGAATGCTGTAATGTCAAAGAATGACATCCCTCAGCAATGAAGTCCAAGGTAAAGAGGAGGCTCTAAATCCTTCCAGTGTGCTCAGTTGGGGGTCACCTCTCCTGATACACAAGCATTTATAGCCAGATTGTTGCAGGGCACCCCTCCCTGGAAGTGGTGCTGACCAAGGCTAGGATCAAATCTCTGGGCTCTGAATATGGGAAACTGGATATGGCAGAAGGAAAAGGAAATGGGGTCCTCACTGGCTGGCATTATTTGGAGTGAGAGCATCTTGGGTGTCCCCAGGGGATCTCATTGTCAGAGAAGGGTCTTTCCTTACTGGGTTTCATGGGTAAATTGGGTAGAAATCCCCAGTCCTCATCAAGAGTAGCTATTATACCTCAGTTCTTAGTGGGGCCTGGGCTGAACAGTGAAATTGCTCTCTGGCTTAGAATTAGGAAAAATAGAAGGAGTGGGGACAAGAGTTGGAAGTGTCTTCACATTCTCAGCTGCAGCTGGTGGGCAATGTAGGACCTTTCCAGGTCTCGCATCCCCATGGCTAAGGATCCTTGTCCTTAACCACTGGAATCCCTAAGGTGGTACAGAACCCAGGGCTAGGAAAGGGGACAGGCAGCCCAGATCCCCACCTTCTTCCCCATCCCCACTGGGAAGCTCAGACCTGGGTGCTCAAGCTGCTGCGGGAAGAGATGGTAGAGGCGCTGCTGGCCAGGCTGAGGCTGCTCCGAGGTCGCCCCTCCTCCATCAAGGACTTGGGGAGAGAGAGAAAGGGGCTGTGTCTCGGCAGCTGACCCAGCTAGGGACAGAGACAGGGTCAGGGGCTTGGAGGTCGGAGGAGGCTGAGGAGAAAGAGCCTGTTGTTTTGAGATTGGGGGGCTGGGGGAGGCCATGGCCCGGGATTGCATACCAAGAGCAATGCCAAGAGAGGTGGGCGGCACTGGCAGCTGCGAGGAGGGGGCAGCTGTCTGCAGCCCAGTCAGAGAATAGGGGTTCCTTTATTCCTGCCCACTGAGCTCTGGCCAGGAATGTGACCCTCTCTGTGCTGAGGGACCCCATTCCCTGCCTCCTTCCCGCTACCTGTCTCCTACACTAGTCCAAACCATCCGGACCAGCTCCCCAAGCCCAGCCGCACAGTACCAGGAATGTACACCGGGCAGCCCCTCCTAGCCCAGGCAGGAAACTTACCCGGCTTTGGGGTCCCGGTGACAGGGGGAGAGGACAGTGCAGGTGAGGGGCACCCAGTCACTGTCTCCCACCTCCTCTCTCTCCTTACCTGGTCGCTGCCAATCTTTTTTGTCTCTTTGTCTTCTGTCTTGTTCTCTCTCAATCAATACCCCTCTTTTTCCTCTCTCCTTCTCACACCTCTACGTCTTTTAGACCCTCCCCACAGTCTTACCGTCTGTCTGTCTCTCCAGTCTCTGACTCTTTCAGTTTCCCCCACAATCCTTCTGTTTCTGTCCAAATCTCTTTCTGTTTCCTCCTAATTTTTTTTCTCTCTTTCCCTTTCTCGCTCTTTCTCTGTCTTCCTCTCACTCAGTCTCTTCCTCTCTCTCTCTCTCTCTCTCTCTCTCTCTCTCTCTCTCTCCCTCCACGTCTGCTGTTTCCTCCCTTTCCCTATCGGGTTCTCCTCCTTCCTTTCTCTCTTCCTCCCTCTCCCAGTTTCTCTTTCCTCTCTGCTGGTCTTTCCCTCCCTCTGCCAGCCGCCCACGCTGCTGCCTCCCCTCCCAGTCCTGGCTGTCCCCGCCCCTTCTGGCCTCCCCACCACAGCCTGACCCCTGGCTCAGCTGCCCCCACTTCTGAGGGGAGGAGCTGCTCCCCCTGGACTCCTAGGTCCTCTAAGGGTTATGACGTGGACTCCTCAAATGTTTGCAGCTAAGACCTGAACCTCAGGGACCCTAGTGGGTTTGTTGTACTCTGGAGCCACTGGCACCCTCAGGGAGAGGACTTGGGTCTTGCAAGGGGAGGGGGCTCAGATTCCTGAAACCCTGGAAGAATTGCAGTAGGAATCCAGACTCCCAGGTGCCTGAAAATATGTGTTAGGAGTCAGAACTTCTGAGTTCTGATGAGCCAGGGGTTTTGAATTGGCCGGGTCTGGGCTGGTCATTCCCCCAGAGAGGAGGAAGTCCCCGATTCCTGGGTTCTGGTTAGGGCAGGGTCAAGCGGCCACTTTCAAACCTCTACCTCAGATCCAGGTGAGAATTCTGTTCTTCATCGAGGACAACCCCTTCAGGAGGGAGACATGGGTTCTGGGCACATTTTGAGAAGCAAGACTGTGGACCAGAACAGCTGGGCGTGGTGGCATATGACTATACTTTCAGCAACTTGAGTCCAAGGCAGGAGGATTGCAAGTTGAGAGGCCAGTTGAGGCAACTTAGGGAGACTCTGTCTCATAATAAAAAAATAAAATAAAAAGAGCTTGGAACATAGCTCAGTGATAAAGCACTCCTGGGTGTTTCAATCCCCAGTACCTAAATATATATAT